CTTTTAGAACTGGTTGTCCCTCGTGGGATGAGGCCCATGAGACCTTTGTGGGACAACCGGTTCTAAAAGGGCTTCTAAATTTAACAACCGGTTCCAGCGAACCGGCTCCAGCTCACCACTGGCTTTGGCCCATGTGCCATCCTCAGGGCCCTACAGTTAGTATACAGGGTGACCAGACAGCAAGTGTGAAAAATCAGGACAGGGAGTGGGGGGTAATAGGCACCTATATAAGACAAAGCCCCAAATATCGGGACTGTCCCTATAAAATCGGGACATCTGGTCACCCTAGTAGTATATATATTGTGTGGATGTGGCCTGCATAACACATAGAACATATGCAGCTCACAATGGTAAACAGGTTGAGAACCTCTGGTGTAAGGTTTGGTTTTTACACTTATTTGTAAATATATTTTATACATCTGTTTTTTGTTTTATAATTAAATTCAAAACTCTTTTTAAAGAAAAGAGGGTGAAAGTACTGTTAGTGTTTTTTATTTTAAGACTAACTTCCACACTGGTAGAAGATAATGTATTCAACAATGTGATTTACTGATCGATCAAATGCTTGTCATTCAGTTTGCCAAGGACCTTCATATTCAGCTGTCTGAACGTCTTTCAGCAATACATACTCTGAAATAGATTGACACCCCAATCCAGCATGCGGATAACTTTAAGTACATGAGTTGTCCAACTGGAGTAGGTAGATGGTTAATATATTATATTATATCATATCACATTATATCATATCACATCCTGTCCTATCGGTGGTTATGTATGATCATAACATAGGATTCAAATCTCTGTGTCCTTAAATTTAACCAAAAGGCATCTTTCATAAGGATGCAGTGCTTCATTATCAAAGTCTGAATATTGCTTATCCATGAATTTTAGGGAGAGGGAAAGCTTCTCAATAATGCAATAATATGTCAACCTGCCTCCAGGTGCTATCTTTATACAAATAAATAAAATAAATAAATAAAACAACAAACAACAACAACAACTGGTATTGAAGAATTGCTTTGATTCTTCTTTAGGTCTATTTTATTTTTTTGCATGTTTATTCATAATTGTACCTTGTCTGTCCTTTATGAAATACCCTTGTCTTTCTGCCAGAGACTAAATATAGATGAAAGATTAGTCACGAACATTTTCCTGCTCTTTAAGCTCTTTCCAACATCTGTGCAAAATCCCTTATTGTGAGGCTTGCCTAAAGCCCTGTAGTTCTATTGCAACCTTGTATAAAAAGGTGAGGGGAAAAAACCTAACTATATTCAATCTTCTAAAACATGGGAGAAAAAAATTAACAATTCTGAAAAAGATATATTACATTTCATAGGTAAATACATAAACTTTAAATTAATATGGGACATGGTTAGCCTCCTAGAGGTTCAGTTTACACTAGTCAGCTGTAAACTCTTTCTGCATCCATAGAGGGTCTGCTAAAGAACAGTTAGGCATTTTTTAAATGTTCGGATACTTACACAACACCCAACAACTACCTGTTTAATATACTCCCTTTCCATTTGTAAAGTGTTCTAGCTGCTCTCTGTGGATCACAGTATTATGAATGGCCCTTCTGCTGACGGTATGAATGAGATTTGTTCCTTTAATCGTAGTCATTCAATTGCTACATTCACTCAGCGTCTCTCTCTGACTTTGTATTTAGAAAATAAAACCTTGCAGGCAGTAATTTTAATTTAGGGGTTAAAGTCAATCATATTGTCCAAGGGAGGAGAATTCTCTTCCTCCCCAGCAAGACCAAATATTACAGGCACTGTCTTTGCACATGAGATAGAGAAGAAGGGATGTGCTGCATAACCCATCAGTATTACACCATATTTGTCAATAGATGTTGCTACTCAACACACAACATACTAAAATGGCCCCTTATGTTATTTGTTTACAGCATTCTTCACACAAGCATGGATCACTTTTAAGAGAGGAATATGAAATAATACATTCAGAATTGTTTAAATAATCCAAAAAGTTAATGTTTAAAATACAATTATTTCAGTGTTGATAATGATAAATTGTATTTATTATTGCAGCTGACATTTCAGGCTCTATCCTGAGACTTTTGATATTTGGCTTATTTTGCAAATCAGCTGCTATGTGTGCATGCATTTCTCATTGGCTTCAACAATATTTGGCCTTCATATTCAGAGATGAACAACAATACTTTAAAATGTCTACAGAAGCATAATACAGGATCCTACAATATTTTACAGCTCTCTATCCAGGAAACACTTCACCTGTGGCTGAAGTGAAGTCTTCTGCATGACAGAATGCAGCAGCTGTTTTACAGCATACAGTTCTAAATCACAGCTTAGGGCAGAAAGTGAGGAACACCTCTGTATATAACAAACTTCTATTAAAACTTATGTAGGCAGAATGTATTTAATCAAAACAGGAATTCAGTGAGTTAACTGTTCTAACTCTTGAAAAAGTGCTAAAGGATGATTAGTAACCACAAGTGGTCAGCACCTTGGTTTTACATCTCATCTGAAAGACTAATACAAAAATATTATGAAAATCTTTCTTTTTCCACATTTGATTTTATTTACAGAATAATTTTGATATATAGCACCTATGAGCATCGCTGATGGAAATAGCATTTGTTGGTGCTGGCTAGAATTCCACACAATTTTTTTTCTGCTATTATGACAACAGATGTGTGGCCTATCACAATGGGCTTTTATGCTAGATGTGTCTGGTTACAAGTTATACTTAAGTGCATGATGAGTAAATTTTGTTCCATTATTATTCATAATGCTTATCAAATACATTTTCCTCCCTCTTTCTTCTTTTGTTTTTAGGTTTTGGGGTTAATTTTGCACATTCTATCCACCATCACCACCACCACTAAAGCTTCCAGGTCTAATTTCAGGTCTAGTATAACTGAAGGCAACTGCATTGAAGTCAATAAAATAATACCCATTTATTCCAGTTTGGCCCACAAATTTTATAAAATGATACTTTTTGGACACCAGTAGTATTTTATACTATTAAATTGTCTTTGGGTTTATCAGATATTTATGAGATATCAGATGTGCCTGATTACTGTATGCTCAAGAATAGGGCGGGACACATGAAACAATTTATTTTGAGGCCTTTGATGATTTTTAAATTAAATGAATTGTTTAGTGATAAACCAGTTTGGGTTAATCAACTGAGTAAAACAAAGGCAGCCACATAAGTAAGCTGGATTTGAAGGGCTTTATAGTAATCAGGAGATTTACGAATGTCTGCATATTCATGTAAATAATTACAAAGATGATGAGCACCTAATTTGGGAGTAAAGTTTGGCACCAGACAAATGTTATTATGAACAAAGGGGTCAAGTCCTAAGCCAGCTTTAAATGGAACACATTTAATTCATGCATCTCCCCTTCACTTACTGTTCTGGAGCCTTAAAATTCCACCACTCCTGAAGGGGATTTGAACCTTTATCCAAAGCCTACTGAAGTCAGTGCGAGTTTTTCTACTGACTTCAGTGGGCTTTGGATAAGACCCTTTGTGTTTTGCAAGGAGATTTTGAAACACTGAGTTTCTGTAACAATTACACTTTCTCCCTGCGGGACCAGTGGCATTTTAAGGCTACAGGACTGTAGTTTCTCTGTATGTTTATTAAACTAGTTTCATTATTTTAAGAAAAACTACATTTGCTATACTCTCACACAGTTCCAGGCAGATCTCTTTAGGTCATTTAGGATCTCTTTCAATATGAAAGGCTGACTAATGAGAACAGTTTTAAGGTTTAAAGGGCGGCAGAGCATGCTGGTTGTCATGAAAGTGTGTACACATGAAGGTTCTATTTACTCACCAACAGTATGGTGATTTACATGGGTTCATTGCTCATTAAGGGTAATAAACTTCAACTGCGTGACACACCCTCAAATATGGGATGATGAATGAATAGGGAAAGAGAAGGGGGATTTTAATGTGGAACTGAACTTCTAGCATTTAAAAATAATTACTAGAACATTAGACCAATACTTTAGCTGGTGTATTTTAATGCATGTTAAAAAGTTAATCCCTTTGCTGCTGTGAAACATGGCACATGGTGCTTCAAGGTGATTAACTAATGGGCATAGTAGCAGCTAATGTGCATTCTGCCTACCTTACCAAGTATGTTCAGCCACACAAAAGCAGTTAAAATAAGAACAATGTTTTAGTTAATTGAAGTATTTTAAACATCCTTCTAAAGGAACATTTATGACAATGAACTGAATGAGATATCCAGAGTGGAAAAATCAATGTAAAATATGTTTTTGAAATCAAAGATTTTCATAACGATGAAGAACCATAATGATCATCTCTAAACTGCCATCTCCCTGTTGGGTGTTTTGATGGGCAAGTTATTTCTAATTTAATGAGGCAATAAAGTAGGGATTCAGAATGTGAAAGGGTGGATTATTTAATCAATGTGTAGATCTGCCTTTACATTTATAATTGCTCAGTCCCTTGTATATTACAGGTATAAAAATGTATCAAGTGAAATATCAACAGATGATATAAAAGAGACATTGAAATTGATAAACCATTCATTAGAAATACAGGATGCAATGGAAATTTAGAAAACAAGAGATGCCTATATTTGTATGAGAAATAAGACCATATATTAGGAGGCACTTAGTTCACCAATGCAGCAGGTTCACCAATGAAACTAGTCACCAGTTAAACTAATAATCACATTTACTAAAAGGTGGATGAGGCTCAAACATGACTTGACTCATGAACATGCCTTAGAGTCTAGTATCTTTAATGAAAATTACATTACAGAAAGAAAATCAAAAAGGTATTTTATTTATATATAAAGATGTGTGTGTGTACACATACATAAAAAAATTGAGTTTCAGTCTGTGCTATTCAAACCATAACTTCAAACCATAACTTCCATTCATTCCAATGGCATTATGAAAGGAGAAATTACCTGTGACTATGACTATAAACTGGAGAAGACAGACTACAGACAAGTTAAGTATGCATTAAAGTCTTACCTTGTTTTTAGGATATTCAGAAACTGCAAAATTTCTGAAAACTGTATCAGTCTAAGGGCTCTTAAAAATCTTAAACCTGCATAAAAAGAGAATCAGACATAACTCCAGTGCACAGTGACCCATACTGTTATAACATCAGACTTACGATGGTAACAATCAATGAAATCAATGGTATGTAGCATACTGAATGTCAAATACCTTTGAAGTGTTCTTCCATATTTAATAGTCCCAAGATCTTGACCAGCTTTTTTCAGTTGAATTTAGATCTGTTTCTATACCCTACCAGAAATGCATACTTCAAGTACTAAGTTACAGAGTGGGAAATTTAAACAGCTATGATTACCTCAGAGCTAAGTAGAGCTAAGGAGAAAAAACCTTACTTAGTGGTTAGTTGGTAGTCTTAGTGCCCATATTCCTCTCTTCTAGAATGACTTACTATTGCAAATATAGATATACAACTGCTGAAAGCTCACAACTCCCCCAGTGCTTTGCAAAAAACTAAGAGATTATGGGCAAGAGATCTGATAACCTGATTTTTTGGGGAAAAAAACAAAACAAAAACCTAGACATTAGTAGGCCTGATTAAATTGGTAATTCTTAATGACGTAAAATCTTTTATTAGGTTATAATGCTCCATATCCCCACCCCAAACTCTAAAACTTCAGCCAGGGTTATGTAGTTACTGTGGTTTAAAAAAAGGTAAAACTACTGCATTTGCCTTCAAGCAGGTTACAATTACAGTAAATAACTGAACTTTGGTTCTTAGAAAAGTAACAATATTTATAAAGAGATAGCATTGAGTTGTTGAAATCAGGTTGCTTGAATAGCAATTTAGTTCTCAGACAGCTGCAGAACCAGACAGAGAGACAGAGAGCGAGAGAGCACAAGAGAAAATACCATAAAAGATTAAGGGCTTAAATTACTGAGAGTCTTATGCTGGTAGTAAACAATTTTGCTGAAGATCTTTGGCATATGAGTAAAGGTACATTGTGTATTTTATATATACAGCTTATAAAGTTAAATGGAAGGCTTTTGAGGATTTTTTTTTTTTTTTTTTTACTGCACAGTAGGGCAAGAGTTACATAAAAATTGCTTAATATGGAAGTTTGACCACTAGGGTTGGGCCTAGGGCAATGTCAACTTATGCATCTTCCTTACTGACATTTTAAATTTAGTATCAGCTAATAATGTGGTAAAAATAACACTATCATCATGGCATCTGATATTTCCTCATCTGTGGACCTGAATCTAAAACCCTAAAACAAACTTTTCAGAAAGGTCCTGAAATACCTGTTTAGGTTCCTCAGCCAACGTTTATTTTTCATGCATCGCTACACTTCCAAACGGAAGCCAGGACAGGAAGTGCCATCATAATAAAAAGGCAGACTATCCTACATATATTACTACCCTGACTGGAAGCACGGAGGGAATTTTAAAGCAACCTGCTCTGACGACATTTCCAGCTAATTATTTCTGGAATTAATAGGTACAGGTATTAAGGACAAGCACGGGAAAACTCAGTCTTTTCAGTGCCTTTCTGAATGGAACCCAAAGCTTTCTACCTGTATTACTAGTAGTGCTCCCAATTAAACTGTTTATTTATTTTGATTTTTACAAAAATTAATTGCTGATATTTTAGGAGAAAAAAATACATTATAAATATTCAAAAATGTTTTTGAATTATATAAAAAATTGCCATCTTCTGAAACCCTGCACATCTGCTGAAAGTTTGGGATTCACCATTCAAACTGAGTTGGGACATCATCATTTTCCTTAGATAAAATTCCCCTACATGAAGCACACTTAATCAGAACAATTTAGGGAGGATAAATACATCCTCCAAAATGGAGCCAGACCATGGGCCTATAGTGAAACACCCCTGTTGATCCTTGATTCCTGATCTTGGAAGGTTTACGCTGATGTTTAAACTAAAATGTATATGTTAGGAAAACCTAACATGCTTAAAATTGCTAATATTAAAGCTCTAACATAAGAAGTAAAAAACAAAATGTATAAATAGTGGAAATAGACTTTGCAATAAATCTGAGGCCTAATAGAGGCTAGCAAGTTAGCAGAAGGCCTAAATTTTTCACATAAGTGCTTGACCTAGAATTATAAGATTTAACAATATGTATCTTGTGATAAACAAATCAACAACAAAGGAACTATTGACCTGTGACCCCAGACATATCTTGGAAGGCTTAAGCTTAAAATCAAACTATAATCCAAATATTAGGGAAAGTGAAAATGCTTCCAGATGTTGATAATAAAAATAATTAAGGCTGTAATGCAAGTAGGGAAAAAATGTAAAATTACGGTATTAGGCTTTACGAAAGTATGAGACCTAGATACTGTTGTTCTTAGCCTACAGTGCTTGTCCAAAGGTTATAAGATTTTGTGATAAACAAGAAAACCACAGAAGGGGATTTTACGCTCGAAATAATGGATTTTTGTTAAATGTATTAATGTGTTGGAAATATTGGGAAATCTGTGATGCAAGAATCTTATGCTAGAAAACAGAACTTTAATTATGGTTCCCTGGAATGACAAACATGGGCAGGAGGCTGAGACCTAAAACAAATATGGTCTTGAATGTGTAGGGGAAGTAAGGAAAAGGGATACAAAAATACAGTCAGACCAGCCTCTGGTTGGGACACTAGGATGACAGGATGGTGGAAACCTGGAACATCATTCCCACTTACTTTTCCTAACATCTTTCCCTTCTCTGATGCTTCTGATGGTCTTCAGAAGGTTGTGAGTATGCATAATGATCGTTTCCCTAAACTTATATTGCATTTCTGTTTTACTTGCATGTATTTAAGTACTAAATAAAGTCCTTATGTCTGTGTGTGATTCACCAATCTCATCTTCTAGAATACATTTGCATAACCACTTAAGTAAACAAACCTCCTGCACTCTAAATTAATTAATCTAAATTAATTTAATCAATCAATCAAAGGCTACATAACAGACTAAATTTAAAATGACAGAGTTGTATGGGCTTTTGGAATATATATCCATGGAACAAACCCACGTTTACATGTCAAAAACATTGTGAAATGTATTGACATAAACTGGCCATACAAGCCGGAATCCCAACATTGGTCTCCCGGAATACCAAACATGGAAAGGAGACTAAGACTTAATTAGATATGGTCTCAAACATGTGTGGGTATAAGGGAAAGGTGTATAGAAGAGTTGTATGGCCAGTCCTTAGTTGGGACATCAGGATGACAGGACAGTGGAAACCTTATTGTCGCTCCCACTTACAGCACTTCTCCAGTTACTAATCAAAGAGGGAGGGATAGCTCAGTGGTTTGAGCATTGGCCTGCTAAACCCAGGGTTGTGAGTTCAATCCTTGAGTGGGCCATTTAGGGATCTGGGGCAAAAATTGGGGATTGGTCCTGCTTTGAGCAAGAGGTTGGACTAGATGACCTCCTGAGGTCCCTTCCAACCCTGATATTCTAGGATTAGCTGAATAGAGTGCAATTTGCCCAAGGGTATGGTGGAAATGTTTACAGTGCACTTTATTTGTTCTGGAATATGTGCAGTAGTGGTTTTGTCCATGCTCAGCACAGTAACATCTGGTATTGTAACTGCATGCACCTGCTGAGTGAACTGGCTGCTGCAACATACTTTAACAAAATGCCCAATCTTTTTGTAATGATTGCACTGAGCTACTTTTGCCAGACATCCTGTGTAGCTTGCAAGGTGTTGTGGAGATCTACAAGCATGCTTTTACTGTATTTTGAATTTGCTGATTTGGTGGGGTTTTTTTATTAGTTTTCCTCTTGTAATTGTTTGTCTGCAGCAAAAAGTGAACTTTTCTGCAAAGGAGTCACAGCCTGGACTGTGCCTCCTGTATCCATGTTCATTATTTTGGCTTCAGCTGTAGCTGACTCAATCTGAGTAGCAATGGTTATTGCTTTTTCTAGTGTAAGTTGTGGTTCTTACACGAAGCATGGTTGTTTTCTCAATGAGCTAGTGTCATAAATATAAAGGGAAGGGTAAACCCCTTTAAAATCCCTCCTGGCCAGGGGAAAAATCTTCTCACCTGTAAAGGATTAAGAAGCTAAAGGTAACCTCGCTGGCACCTGACCAAAATGACCAATGAGGAGACAAGATACTTTCAAAAGCTGGGAGGAGGGAGAGAAACAAAGGGTCTGTGTCTGTCGGTACACTGCTTTTGCTGGGGATAGCCCAGGAATGGAGTCTTAGAACTTTTAGTAAGTAATCTAGCTAGGTATGTGTTAGATTATGATTTCTTTAAATGGCTGAGAAAAGAATTGTGCTGAATAGAATGACTATTTCTGTCTGTGTGTCTTTTTTGTAACTTAAGGTTTTGCCTAGAGAGATTCTCTATTCTACCTGTAAGGTATCTACCATCCTGATTTTACAGGGGTGATTCCTTTACTTCTATTTACTTCTATTTCTATTAAAAGTCTTCTTGTAAGAAAACTGAATGCTTTTTCATTGTTCTCAGATCCAAGGGTTTGGGTCTGTGGTCACCTATGCAAATTGGTGAGGATTTTTACCAAACCTTTCCCAGTAAGTGGGGTGCAAGGGTTGGGAGGATTTTGGGGGGAAAGACGTGTCCAAACTACATTTCCCAGTAAACCCAGTTAGAGTTTGGTGGTGGCAGTGGATATTCCAAGGACAAAGGATAAAATTAATTTGTACCTTGGGGAAGTTTTAACCTAAGCTGGTAAAAGTAAGCTTAGGAGGTTTTCATGCAGGTCCCCACATCTGTACCCTAGAGTTCAGAGTGGGGGAGGAACCTTGACAGCTGGTCTCTAATCATCTCATCTGCCATATTCCCAAAGTCACAAGTTACAATCAAACTCCTCAGGGAAGCAATACACTGCATTATAGTCTCCCCTGGTTTCTGCTCACACTGGCAAAATCTGTAGCGATTAGCTACTACATTCACTTTTGGCACAAAAAAGTTCTTTGGTGCAGTGAGTGCAGTCTCATATTTATCATCTGCAAGGGGAAAACTGTAAAATATATGCTGCCCTTCTGCTCCAAGGCAGTAGATTAGCAGAGCATGCTTTCTTACTTCAGAAATCTCTGTA